CCTGCTCCACCCGACTGGGGTCTTGTGCGAGAGCTTGCTGACCAGGCCTCCCAATGTGTTGCTGTTGGTGATGCAAGGGGCGCATCGTCGCTTCTCTCGCCTTGCTATGCGGCCTGGGCTGACAAAGCCGAGGCTGAGCTTGTGCCAATTTTGGGACAGTCTGTCCCCTGTCTTGGTTCGAGAGCCAAGGGCCCTCAGCTTGTGTGGAAGAAGCTGGTTGGTCGAGACCATGCAATTCGGGACCCTGAACATCATGCTGTGCGGTGGCTCAGCGTCCAATATCGGGCCATAGCTTCGCTCCTGGATTCGAACCAAGGTGACACTCCTCAGGCGAAGTCGCTGACGACGCTGCTACAGGAGCCTCCGCAGCAGGTTGAAGTTTCTGCTGCCCTTCGGCCTCTCTTTGAAGAGGTTGCCCGTGCTGTCGCCAAGCCTTGTCGGGATCTCAATGTGGGCAGGTGTTACGACGCGGCTCTTCGGGACAAAATTGATGTTGCGGTCAGCAATGCTCAGTCTGCTGCCAAGAAGAGATCCCGTCAAAGTTGGCAAGCTTGGATTCGCGCTGGCCTTGACGAGGGAGCGAAAAGAGTTCACATGTTCACCAGGGACCCGTCACCTTGGAAGGCCACCACCACCCTTTCTGCTGATGGCACCCTTGTGTCTGATCCCTTGGCGCTCTTGGCTTCGGAAGGTTTCAAGTTTGCCGCCTTCTGGGGCAAGGGCCCTGGAGCCTCTAGTGGCCCCCCGTCGCTTGGTCCGACGCTTCCGAGAGTTTCGGCCGACGAAATCAGGGAAGTCTCCAAGAAGTACAAGAGGGGTTCTGCGGTGGCCCACGATGGCTTTAGTTGTCGTCACTTCCAGTACTTGTGTGATGATGCGTTGAACTCGCTCGCCGTCTTGTTTGAAGTTATGGAAGCGCTCGGCGAATTGCCCGAGCAGATTTCTGCCGTGCTGCTCGCGCTTCTCTCGAAGCCCACTGGTGGCTACAGGCCTATAGGGGTGTTCTGCTCCTGGTACAGGGTGTGGGGGAAGCTGAGGCGCCCCTTCGCCCTCGCCTGGGAGCAAGAGCACCCCCGTAGGTACTGGGCTGCTGGTGGGCATCGAGGTGCTGCCGACGTTGTTTGGAGGCAGTCTGTTCGGGCTGAGCACGGCACTGCGTCGAATGAGGTTTCGTGTAGTGTGTTTTACGATATGCTTAAGTATTACGAGACCATTGACCTTGCCAAGTTGATGCCCCAATGTCAGCGACACGGTTTTCCCTCCCCGATTGCGCGCCTTTGCATCTTTGCCTTTCGGTGTGGCCGTTTCCTGTCCTTGGGTGGCATCCTTATGGGCCCCTTTTTTGTCGAGCGAGGGGTGGTGGCGGGCTGCAGCTTCGCCACCGCCCTCATCAGGGTCTTTGCCCTCGACGCGTTCGACTCGATTCCCCTGTCCCCCAGATGTGACCTGGACATTTACATCGACGATTCGGGGATTTCTGCGACGGGCCCTCGTCACCGAGTCATTGCCTCTATTGTCGCCAGCTCGCAGGCCTTGCACACGGCTGTGACCGACATGCTTGGCTGCAGTTTCGCCCTGTCCAAAGTGTGCACGGTCTCCTCTAATAGGGCGGTGGCCAGAGAGGTTGGCAAGCAGCTTGGCAGTCTGGCAGGTAGGATCGAGGATGTCACAGTCAACTTAGGTGTGGACTACACGGCGGGCAAGTCCATTCGCGCCTCAGGTCGGGCTAGCAAGCTCAAGTCGAGGCTGGCTACCATGTGCCGTCGAGCCAAGAGGCTCAAGAGGCTCTCTGGCGATCTTGGGAGAAAAACTCTGCGTGTGTTTTCCTCGGGCCCTCTTGCGGGAGGCTCCTATGGGGCCGACATTGTGGGTGTTTCCGACCACGATCTTTTATTGATGCGGAGGCAAGCCTTCTCGACTGCGCGGCCGTTTTCTCAGGGCAGGAGTCTCACTGCCTGCTGTATATTAGCTGGAGATCCCACCTGGAGGGCGGCCTGCGCGCCTGTGCTTAGGTGGGGAAAAGAAATATGGCTTGCTCAGACTAAGGTCTTCCCGCACCCCCTGGCCCTCAAGGAGCTTAGAGATCCTTGGAATGCCGTCTGGGGCCTTGGCAGGATCAGTTGGGGTCTCGTTGGGGGTCCTGTCTCTGCCCTCAGGCTTTGCCTGGTCAGGTTAGGGTGGCATATGGACAACTTCATGACCATTATTGATGACAGAGGGTACCACATCCCCCTCGGTGTGACCTCCCCTGCCCTCTTGTGCATTTTCTGTCGGGAAGGTATGATCAGATCTCTGGAAAGGGACTTGGGCGGCAAATGGGCGTCTGGAGGCCGCCTCTGCTTGGATGTCCCCCGTGCTGCTCTGGCGTCTAGCAAGTTTACTCCCAGTGAAAAAGGCATGATTCGTGCTCTGGCGTGTAACGCCATCTGGACTCCTGATCGTGCCATTGTCTGTGGATATAGAGTTTGTTCTAAGTGCGTCCATTGCGGTGAGGCAGACTCGCTGCACCATCGGCTGTGGGCATGCCCACATGTGAGCGATCTGAGAGCGGAGCTTGCTAAGGACTGGATCATTGCTGCCGCCCGTGACACTGAGGCTGAGGACTACTCGGACCTCCTTTTCTGCTTCGGGGCTTTCGCCCATCCCGCCGATGCCCTTCCGAGGCCTTGCCTCGAAGGCAATGTGGTGTTCCGCTGGCATCGTGATCTGCTCGAGGGCCCCGAAGGCTTCGAGGCTCCCCAGGAAGGTGCTGTCTGGGGGTCGCTGTTTCTCGACGGGTCTTGCAAGCGGCACATAATTCGTGAACTCAGCCGTGCGTCGTGGGCCATCACGATGCACAATGACAGCGGGGGCCTTTTAGGTGAGGTTATGGGTCCTGTGTGGGCTCAATACCCTCAGACCCCGCAGGCTGGTGAATATTTAGCGCGTGGCATGGCTGGTAATATGGCCAAGTACCCTTCCACCCTGTTCTCTGACTGTTTGAATGTGGTCAAGCATTCTAAGTTGCCTCCTGGCGATCGCCTCTCGGGTAAGAGGGTGTACAGTGGCATAATCATGGAAGCCAATGCTCGAGAAGGCACGTGCATTCAGGATATTGTTAAGGTTTCTGCTCACAAAGATTTAGATGAAGCTGGCGTCGACCAGTTTGAAAGGTTTTGTCGCAAATGCAATAATGATGCTGACGCGGCGGCCAAAGCTGCGCTTTCGTTTCATGCGACAGATATTAATGAGAGTGAAGATCTCAGCAAGAAGATTGACATTGCTAAAGCAGTGTGTCGACTAGGGGCCAAGCTTCTCTTAGAGTGGCCACGACTAGATTTATCTGATGCCGATTATATTCCGCCTGCCCCCAAGCCCAGGTTCTCCTGGGACAAGCCTGGGCATGACTGGGCCCCTTGGTCCGGTGTGTGGCGCTGTAGAGTTTGTTTGTTGGGTTCTAGGGAGTCTGGCGTCCCTGATCCTGGCATATGCTCTGGCAGGTGCAAGCTTGATGAAGGTGTGCTGGTGTCACTGCGGCATCGTGTTTTGGCCTTCTCCTGCAGTGACGGTTCACATCTTTTTGTTTGCGTGAAATGCCGCTACCACAGCACAGGTGCTCGTGTGGACGGCCTAGGGAAGTTTTGTAAGGATCGGCCCTCCAGGAACGCCGAGTATTCTTGGAGGCACCTCTGTCGAGGAGTGCACCCGAACCCCAGGAAGCGGGACGTGACGGTGAATACTCACCAGATCTGTGCTCTGTTTGGTTCTCAGGCCGAGGAGGCTTCCTCGTGCTGCAGGGCCGTGGAGGCCCCAGCTGGGAACCTCATGGTGGAGGAGGAGGAGGTCCCCCCCTCCTCGTTCGAGCCTCCCCCCCCCTCGGTGGAGGAGGTCCGTCAGGCCCGTCAGGCCCGAGAGCTCAGCGTCTCCTCTCAGTCCCTCCGCCGTCTCCAAGCCGCTCGGAGTGGCGGTGAGGTAAGGAGGGACTTGGATGCTGACTCGGGTTCTTCTGACTAATTTTATCCTGCCACCTTGGTGGCTCACCTCCTTGCCTCAGTGGCATGGAGGACGCAGCAGCGATTTCCCAGCCGTCGCTGCTGACAGGTGAGGCTGCGCGGGCGTTGAGCTCAACAAAAAAAACCCTCACGAACGTGCGTATCGCGAGGCTCGTCTCGCCGCGGACTGGTGGGGCGCACTGAGCACGCGGTCCGGCGCAGACGTCCTGTGCGAACTCCCTCCTGGCGGCCCCAGGCCCAGATCTGCGCCCTCCGTCTCCAGAGAGGCCCCCCACGGAGGCCGCAGGGGGTCCCCCCCGAGGACGCCCGAGGAGGCTCCCGGAGGCCCGGCACCGCAGGTCTAGTCGGCAGAAGTCCTGGCCACTTGAGCCTCCCGGCCCTCCGCGCCGTTTTGCCCCCTGGGCTCAGGGGGGAAGATAGGGGAACAGAAAGCGGCATAAACATAAAAAAGCTCGGAGGTCCGCGCGGATTTCTCGGATCGGCGCTGGACCCCCCTCCCTGGCGCGCGGAGCGCGCCAGGAGCGACGCCAGCGGCGCCGCCGGGGGGCCCCAGCGCCGATCCGAGAAATCCGCGCGGACCGCCGAGTGTTTATGCTTATGTCACTTTTTGTTCCCCTAGAAGAGGCACCACTACCGCTGCCCTCGCCTCGCTTTCTGCCTTTGTGGAACCTCTTGGGAGGCTTCGCCCCCGCTGGAGTCGCCTCGAGATTCTGGTCAGAACGCACCCTGGGGAGATCCGGGGAGCGGCGTTAAGTCGGGCCTGTCCCTCTACAGGAGGTAGATTCGAAACCAATCAAGAGATGGTCTGTGGACGATCTTTTAAAACCACTGTTGACTATGTTTGCGCATTTCTTGACTACGCTTTAACTCTCGCCCAAAATCTGCCTGTAGGAGGACATGCCCGACCTGAGAGTAGCGGTAGCAGTACCCTTTGGTGTCCCCAGCTGCTGCGCGGCACGAGACGTGGTCGGTACGGGCGCCGCCCGCCGCCCGCCTCTCCGATGCCAGGCGGCGTGCTGCGGCCAGTACGCCATGGGCTACTTCCTCGGCAAGTCCGTGAGGATACAGGCGGGGGGGGGGGGGGGCGGCGGCGGCGAGGCGAGCCAGGCGTCGGAGGAGCAAGAAGTCATGACGATGATGCGCTTCGGGGTCTCCACGGCTTCCAGAGCTTGCCGGAGCTCCTGGCGTTCCACTGGGGCTGCAGAAGCGAGGGCCGCTGGATGGTCTTGAAATTTTGTATTTCCAGGAGCCAATCTTATCGTGAAAATCCTCGTCTTGAGGAGGGCGTGGGGTGTCTCCCCATCCCCTTCCCTCAGGAGGGGCAGGGTGGTTCAGTTTATTGTTTTCCCCAGCCAGCCTGGGTTGTGTTGGCTCTCGTTTTGACTACGCATCGCCCCGCGTCCTCACTCCTTCCTTTCTTCCTCCTCCACCTCACATCCTTGCCACTGTCCTCCGCATGTCCTCATGCTGTGACAGCCCAGAACTCTGCAGCCAAGCTCGCCACGTCAGCTGCAGGAATCATCAAATGGTTGAAATAAAGTCAACACTGTCTGCATGTCATCATCGCTCGTTGCCCTGTAGGGAGCTCCACCTAGGCGTTCACATCGCGTACCCGCCCCCGATTCGGCACACCTCTCACACGTGTTGTGGCCACATAGGGATCAGCACCAAAGGCCCCAACGGCTGCCCTCACATGGCTTACCCGCCCGTTATTCGGCACGCCCATTACACGTTTCGTGGCCCCGTGGGAGGTCCACCGATGACCCCAGTGGCTGCGCTAACTCGGCCTACCAGCGTCCCTGCCGGCACACCCCTTAGTCGTTTCGTGGCTCAACAGGAAGCTCCACCAAACGCCCCAGTGGCGACATCCGCATGTAGGCCTTACGCCCGTTGCGGCACACTCCTTACACGTTTCGTGGCCCTATAGGGAGCTTCGCCGAAGGCATCAGTGGCTACGTTTTCATGGCGTACCCGCCCCTGGTTCGACGATTCGTTGCCCCATAGGGAGCTCCACCGAAGGCCCCATGGTGTGGGTTTACACGGCGTGCCCGCCCCCGATTTGGCGCATGCTTCATAGAACGCACTGCTGAAAACAGTCGCACTAAGTAGAAGTCCAGAGCCAGACCTCCCCCCTCCCCCCCCTTTCCGCCCAATGCCGAAACGCCGAACAAGAAAACACAGGTCCATCATTCAGTGCCTCCGCGACGGGGCGAGGTTCGACACGCGCGGTGCCCATTCCCTTCATCTGTGTCTCGCCACAGGGAATCCGGGTGTCCCCCCCCCTCCCCCCCCTCCTTTCCGCCCAATGCCGAAACGCCGAATTAAAAAACAAAAAAAAAAGAAAACGCTCGCAAGTTGGGGTGCGGCGTGCGGACCCAAAATCACAGGGGGTCTCTGCGCGACTGCGACGTGGAATTCTTGAGCGCCGCAGCGGGGCCCAGCGCAGCTCGGTTCGGCGGGGACAAGGTGAACGAACGGCTGCGCTTGTGGGCTTCTCACAGCAGGGTCCGCACCGCAGTCAGCAGAGCCTGGAGCCCAATCTCGCAGAAGATGAAGGCCATGGCTTGCGCGGAGAGGACTCGCGGCATCCGTGGGCCAGTCGGCGCAGTGATGGCCGCCCGTCAACCGTGCGAGCGAGGCTCGATCGCTCCCCCCCCACTGGCAACTCCATCTGACGGGGGCACGAGCGAGCAGATTGATGGGGATCCCCCAGAGGTGCTCACTGGTCGCGGAGACCTCGGCGAAGCACTGCGCAGCACCCCGCAGTCGCGAAGAGCGGGGGGGCGGCGGAAGCGCTGGCATTCTGCGAGGCTCTCAAGACGCCAGCCGCACGTGCTGAATTTATGCAAATGATACGACGAGCCCGCCGCAGGCGCCGAGCTCTCGTTCATGCAATGTGGGTGGGTCGCGGGCGGGTCGCGGGGTGGGTCGCGGGCGGGTCGCGGGGTGGATCGCGGGGTGGGTCGCGGGTTGGTTGCGGGTTGGTTGCGGGTTGGGTCGCAGACGGGTCGCGGGCGGGTCGCGGGCGGGTCGCGGGTCGCGTCGCGGGGGGGGGCGACGACAGCAACAACAACAATCATTTCAATATTGTTCGCCCTTATCTGCTCGCGTGCGATTCAACACGTATATCCCGAACCTTCGATACCCGCCCTCTTCGTCCTCGACCGTACCTCCTTGGGGGTATATCTTTCTTACCTGCAACGTGTATTTCGCGCAGCCCCTGAAGCAAGGGAAGGGAGGACGGATGGAAGGAAGGACATGCCGGAGGGAGGAGGATGGAGCCCGGGGTAGGAGCAGAAACCACGCGGCAGAACCAGACGGGCAGATCGGGCGGGTAGACCCTACCAGGCGGGTCGGAAAGGAGGGTCCAGGCTGCCAGGTCGAGTATGCGGGTTGCTGAAGTGTGTGTCCTGCATGAATCGCAAGGAAGTCTCGAGCGACAGCTCGATTCCCAAATCAATCGTGAGGAATTCCACAGCGAGAGCGTGACTCCTGAATGTCGAGGGCGCGGCGTTGGAATAAATTGGGAGGAAGTCCCACGCGAGAGCATGGTGAGGAAGTCCCGCGCGAGAGCGCGATTCGGAAATACATTGTGAGAACGTATTCGGCGGGAGCCGCTGTTGCTATAACAACACAGTTTGAGGACGAAGACTCTCCCTGATAAAAAGCCGGGTGCGAGCGCCGGGAGGGGCACTTCAATTGAAAACATACAATGTGCACTAGAGGGGGGATCAACAATATGCATTCATCCGTAGTGACTGTTCAACAACAACAACAGCAACAACAGTAACAGCAGCAGCAACAACACCAACGATTATTGTCAGATTGTTCGCTCTTACTCGTCCGTGTGTCATTCAAAACGAGTTCCCCACATCCTCGATACCCGCCCTTTTCGTCTTCGATCACACCCCCTTTGGGGGATTTGTTCTCTTTTTGCGGGGGGCGACGGGTTTAGACAGGCGGGCAAACCTGAACGGGCGGACAATCTTTCGAGGGCTTACATGTGCCCGCCATTGGAATTGGTGTGGTCCCTGCAACAAGGAGGGGGAGAACGAGGGATAGTGGGAGGAAGGGAGGGGGAGACGAAGGAAGAGGGAAAACACCAGGAGAGAAGGAGCTAAAAGGAGGGCGGTTGATTAAGGCAGAGAGAGAGAGAGGAAAAAAAAAAAAAAAAACAGATAAGTGAGGTGGATGGTAAAGTAGCACGTGACAGCAGCTCTGGGAGGGCTGCACGGATCTGCCCCGAGGCGCTGGTCGGCGTCGACAAGGTGCTGACCCGCGCAATCATGCAGGCCAATCCGCCTCCCTCTCTGGGCTGATGAGCTTGTTTTCCACCACCACCATAGGTTGGATGGGGGGAAGGAGGAGGAGGGCGACGAGGAGGAGGACGAAGAGGAGGAGGAAGAGAGGGAGGAGCAGGAGGAGGAGGAGGACCCCCCCCACCAACTTATGGTGGTGGTGGTGGAAAGCACGCCCATCATGTGCGCAACAAAGATCACGGCGCCCACATCGCAGAGCGGATTTCGTTCGGAAAACGATCGTCGGGGCCCGGAGCGTCCTGGAGAAAATTTCGTTCCGGCTTTCGAGGTGAGTTTCGTGCGGATCGCTTGGGCCAGGAATGAAGACAACAAACATCCACGTGAGATTCACTTCGTTTTGCGCTCGCCGTTTCGGGCAAAATCCACGCAGAAATCCGCCGCAGCACGTCTACAAGGCCGGGGCAATGACAAATGATAGGGGAACGAACAATGACATAAACGAAAAATTCGGAGGTCTGCGCGGAGTTTCGCTGACCACAGATTCATCCGACGTTTTCTTCGATCGGGGCCCTCTTCGGCACGGTCGTTCCTCTGCGTTTGTCCTTCGGAGTTTGCCTTCGGCCGCTCGTTCCTGGGCCGCCGTGGCGGGCGAGCTCCCGGCGGCACCTCTGTCGCACCGTTGGTCCCCTCTGCCGCTGCCTCCCACGAGCACGGACGCCCTATCCCGCTGCTGTCCTGTGCGGGGGCCGCCTCTCCGCGCATGTGTTTTGTATGGTGTGGTTGGTGTTTGTTTGTTTGCTTGTTTTTTTTGTTGGTTGGTTGGTTGCTTGGTTGGTTGCTTGGGTTGGTTGGTTTGGTTGGTTTGGTTGTTCGGCTGTTTGTTCTTTTGTGTTGGTTTGTTGGCTTGTTTGTTTGCCTGCTCGCCTGTTCGCTTGTTTGCTCGTTTGTTGCTTTGGTTGGTGTGCTTGTGTGCTTGCTTTTGCTTGCTTGCTTGCTTGCGACTTGCTCGCCGCATCCAGACCGAGGCTCCTCTTCCGTGGCCAGGCCCAGAAGGGCGCCTTGTTTCGGAGGTTGATAGACCTCCTACCCTGACACGTCGATCAGCGAGTTGGCCGTTTTCGGTTCGCGAGAGGGCGTCGCGGCCGTCGTTTTTGCGAGTCCAGGTCCGTCGGTTTCGGTCCCAGGCCGTTTCTACTACAGGGATGTTCGCTAAAGGGAGGTTTGGCCACCGCCGATTGTCGAGGATCAGGCAGCGGGGCGTCTTAGCGGTAGGCGAGACCTGCGGCGTGCTTCTGCCTGGGCGCGGCCGGCAGCCGGGCGCGCCCGTGCTCCGTCGGCGGGGCCCGCCGCGCGCCCCGCTCCGGGGCGGCCGGCCAGCCGACGGAGCGCGTCGTCGCCGCTCTCTCTCCTGACTGCTGCTGTAGTTTTTTCGTCGGCGTCTCGCTTCAAGCAGTGGCGAGGCGTCCCGGCTCGGCTATAGCCATGCCAAGCAGTGTTCGAAGAACCTTTTTGCGGTTCCCACGAGAATGTTCTCAGGACATGTCTGGCGGAGCCGGTTTTGTTTTATCACATCGGGTTTATGTTCTAGGAACATTGTCTTTACTCTTGTAGAATATTTTGGGGTTCTAAGAACACTTCGTGGTGGGACTATAGGAATGCCGGGACGGTCGGTCCCTGCTCAATCACTATTGAGTCGGGCCTGTCCCTCCACAGGAGAAGTATACAAAAATAGTTGTTAAAGCTTCGTCTTGGGACGATGTTCCTGTTATGTTGTTGGTAATGATGTTTGGGCATTGTCTGTTTGGCTAAATCTTCAACTTTCCGTCCACACCGCGTGTACGGGGACATGCCCGACCTAATCTTACAAATAATTGGCATTAGTCTTTTTATGATTGTTATGTTTCTTCCAGACCCCCGCGCAGGAGCACCTCCTTCTCAGGAACAGAAAGTCTCCTACAATGTCATCGAGTTCCCAGAAGCTCGCTCCCTTCCAGAGCGATGTATCATTCGCCACCTCCTTCTTATCATCCACTGCGCAAAGCCCCCCCCCGACTGCACATCGCAAGATGTGGCCATTTGATCGAGATCCTCTAGGACACCCCAGTCGGCGGATGACTACAAAGTCGGCGCAATGGGGGAAGGAAGGATGGGCGGGAAGGGTAGGACACCATAGATGTGGCGCGAGTGCACATGTCTTGCCCTTACCCTGTCCTCGCTGCTCCCTCCCTTCTCCCTCCCCCTCTGCCTCCTTTTTCCTCCGTCTTCCCCTCCACGGGTCCCTGGCCGTCTTGGCTGAGGTCGGGTCGAAACGCAGATCGGGCTGGCCTCCCGGTACGAACCTCGAGGGAACGAGAGCTTGGCTCGGAACAGGTGCGCCAAGGATTTCGCGACCTGGAGCAAAACATGGGTTCACGTCTCCTTTCCTGTTGCCAGAGGCTCAGGAGTATCAAGTCGGGCGTGCCCCTCTGCAGGAGGAATGTTCAAACACAGTTGAGAAATAGCCTGGGACGATTTTTGTGTGACTGTTTCTGCGTATTCTTGAATCGTTTGGCGTGTTTTTTTAAGTGTTCGTCCAGAATCCGCCTGTACGGGGACACGCCCGACCGAACACAAGTCACTCATGTTCTTCAGGGTTCTTATTCGTTTCCGCGTTCTGGCATGTCCCCGCCCCCGATCGTCCAAGGCGGCTTCAAAAGCCTCCAAGACCGCCACAAAGCGGCCTAAGAGACGCCCCAGAGGCAGCCAAGAGAGCCCCAAGACGGCCCAGGAGGAGCTCCATGAGGGCCCCAGACGCCGCCACAAGAGCCCCGATCAGGGGGACACGCCCGACCTCACAGGAGTCGTTTCTCGCGGGGCGAGGCCGCGGGCACGCCAGGGGCACAGCGCACGGGAGCCACCAAGCCGACCTGCGGTGGCGGACCAGTGTCTGGAGGAGGAGGAGGAGGAGGAGGAGGAGGAGGAGGAGCAGGAGGAGGAGGAGGAGGAGGTGGAGGAGGAGGAGGAGGAGGAGGACGAGGAGGACGAGGAGGGGGAGGAGGAGGTGGACGAGGAGCTGAAGTGAAGGACGAGGAGGAGGAGGAGGAGGAAGAGAAGGAGGAGGCAGGCTCCTGCAGTCGCCCCGTCAAGACTTCACGAACATGGCCTTGATGCAGCCCGCCCATCCCGCAGGCGCCCCGATCTTCAGCCGTGAGACTGGCGTCGCGCAGCGTGTTGCAATAATGATGATGTGACGGTGCGACGCCGAACTGTGACGCGATTGCAGGCCGATGTGTTCGTGGCAGCGACAGAGACGACAGGCCGTTATGACGCGTCCTCCCAGAGTGGGGGCAGTAGTTGGGGACGCGCCGTGTCCTCATAGCACGAGATTCCTCTCGCTTCGCGGCGTGCGCGTCAAGACTGCGGAGAACACGGGCGTTTGGGACTTCCTTGGTGTTTTGTGAAAGCTTCTTGAGGACCTCCTGGGGGCCTACTGGGGCCTCTTGGGGGCCTCTTGGTGGCAATTGTTTTGATTCCCTGGCGATACGGGCGCTGCCAGGCGGACGGGGAGAGGGGGCCGGTCACGTCACGAGTCGTTTGCGCGGAAGCTGGACGGAGGAGCCCGGCTAACATGTGGGCTGGGAGCCGCTCGTCTCGGGGCCCATTTGGAGCCGTTTTGGGGTCCCCCTCCGCCTCCGCGGCCGACTCCTTTTCCGTTGCTCTTCTGCAGCGCGTTCCATCGAATCAGTTGTTTTCGCGACCCAGCTTCTTTGAGCACGCGTTTGAGTTTTGCGACGCCGCCGACAAAAAGCAGCACAAGGCAACGCCAAGTTCAGATCCCGGTGAGTATTGCAACAACGCGTTAGCAGTTTCAATGATGCGGGCCTTTTGGTGGTGTCTTGGGGCCTTTGGGGGGTCTTGTGGAGGCCTCTTGGGGGTCCCTAGGGGCCTCTTGGGGGCCTCTTTGGGGCCTCTTGGGGCCTATTGAGGGGCTCTTGGAGGGCTTTCGGAGAGCTCTTGCGCCATCTGGCCCCTTCCGAGGCCGTCTTGGGGGCCTCTCGGAGCCGCCTTGGGGCTCTCTTGGGGCCCTCATGTGCCGTCTTGGGGGCCTCTTGGCCCGTCTTGAGGGCCTCTTGGGCCGTCTGGAGGGCCTCTTTGGGCCGTCATGGCCCCTCGAGACCGGAAACACATGATAATGCTAAACTATAGCAACAACCAAGCGAAAATTGATATGATTGGCCTCTGGAGGCGCTCTTGGAGGCCCCATTGGGGC